CCCCTTCAACTACTTGGAGAAGGCCTTGGTGGAGCAACAGTCCCCTCCTGTGCCATCCACTCCTGCTCCTGTCTGCCATTCAGCTAGCCCCATCTTCTGGTGTGATGGGTGCCACTCTGTACCCCCTCACAGCAGCTGGGGTGAGACAACTTGCTTTCCATAACACAGAAGTGTCTTAGCCACGATCAGTAAAACATTACATCAAGTTAATGGTTTGTAAGGTGGTAGCTTTCCAAAGTGCTGTGGAACAGTTGAAATCTGTTTTTCATACCTCTGTGACACCAAACAGGGAACTGTCAAAGGGTTTCCTCAAATGAGACACCTGTTTAGGGCTCCTCTACCCTGAGAGCAGTTGTTGTAAAACTTAATTAACTCTTTCCTGCTGTCAAATACCATTGGAACTGGACAAATGATGTAAAAGTTACCGAGGAAGGAGTAGAATTTGCAGGGAGAAAAAAAAGAAAGAGAAAGCACATAAGAAAAACTTTTTAAAACTTGAGTTACAAAGGAGACAGAGCTGTGCTTCCAGCTCTCTGCTCTGTGAGCTGAGGTCAGTTTAAGCTACAGAATGGGCCTAACAGAGCACAAAGCTAGGTAAATTAGTACCACATTCTTATTATTTCTAAGGAAGAGGTAAGACTACACTTTCCTCCACACTTAACATTCTCAAAACCCCCATAACCTCTGAGCTTAATTGACTGAGAGAGTGCTGCAGGGGCACTTGGCTTGAGACTCTGAGAAGGAATGTATCAGGTTTGGGATATCTTCTGGAACAAGGTGTTTGAAAGACCTGAGCTGTGTGTTACTGTCAAATTTGGTACGCAGGAGAGAGGCAGGATTGTGGGTGTGGTAGTGGGCAAACCTCTGGTCTTAGTGAAACCTTGGAGAGGTGCTGGGAATGCCTAAGGTAATAGATACCTGGGCTGAATTGTAGAAACATAGAATCATAGAATAATTTGGGTTGGAAGGGACCTTTAAAGGTTACCTAGTCCAACCTCCCTGCACTAAGCAGGGACATCTTCAACTAGATCACATTGCTCAGAGCCTTCTCTAACCTGACCTTGAACATTTCCAGGGATGGGGAGGCTTAAAGTCCCATTGTGAAGAGGTAAAGTGAAGGAAGGTACTGAGAACAGTTTGCAGAGCACATGGGACAACTATGTTATTTATGATAAGCTCAAACACTGCACAGTGCAGATCTGTGCAAATGAGACACTGTGAAATGATGCCTGGACTCACACATCCAGAGAGAGAGC